GGTGTATTTATCTGGAGAGACTCCCTGTGCCTTTTAAAATTTTCTTCTTATTTTGCTGTGGTCAGGTTAATCCTGGGCGTGTAGCCCAGAGACGATAAGAACGTCAGGACTTTATAAAAAAAGTAGCAATCAGGTAGAAGTATGGCGACAAAACTTGTGTGAGAGTGAATCTGGTGTTGGCTTTCACTTTCACATTCACTGGTAAGCACCACTACAGATATGATTTATTAAAATTACCATAATATCAGTATCGTATAACCATTAATGCTATGATGTAAATAGACAAGCATGTTTTAGTGAATTCCATTCACATTTTGAGGGTGCTTTCAGACCTAGAGTTGTCTTGCTTTGGTCTGAATCAGGGACTAATTTTGTTACAAAGTTGTATAATTGCCTAGAGTTGGTTTGTGTTCTCACGGCAGCATTTACAAGCAGACCAGATCAAATGTCTTGTGTGAGAAAGCTGCTCTTGATTGGTCAGAATTTCCATGCGGGAAAAATCCAGGAAATAAACCAAACGTTGAAGAAGAGTACACTTGCAAGATAAATGTGACACTTTCTAATGTCACAATGGAGGGACAACTACGCAGGTTGATTTTAGCGCTGCTCATCGTGGACTATATTGCTGTCATTGTTCATTTTAGTCAAACCATACAGTTTGAAAACGAGGCACGGCTCCAACTAGAAAACAATGTTTTGATGCATTGGATGTGCTGAATGTGCATATTAAGGCAGTACAGGAGGAGGCGCACATTAATAATCCTCCAGGACTGTAACATGCTCATGTTTAACCCAAACAATGTGTCATGTGACTGCAGTTGGTTCGGATCCAGGTCGGAACACGATCTCACCACAAACGAACCGCACCAGAGGTTGCATCCGGATCACCTCTTCAAGAAGGTCTCAGTCCAGTTGCTTTGGTGCGCACCTGAGTGGATTGCTGTGTTCACACCTGCCTTAATGAACAGCACTTGAGTTTGATTGAACCGAACCAAACGGGGCAGGTGTGAAAGCACCCTGAGACAGTATGGCAGAGCTAATGTTACTCAACGCCATCAGCCTGTGTTTTGACAATATGCTTGAATGTTACTGTAGTGGCTAAACATTTTAACACTGTTTAGATAAAGCATTAGATCCTTTCTGTTAAACTAGGAACAGCCCTGAAATCACCAACACCAAACCAAAAATGAAACAAACAAAAATGATTTTACTCCTTTTCAGTAATGTTGTCAGACACTTATTATAAAATCTGAGCCCATCAGTGGCAAAAACAAGCACTTTTATTGGACATAGGTTGACTGTGTGACCATGCCCTGATTGAAAGCTGCAGCGGTCTCACACAGTGCTGGACCTGTTTCAAAAACTGCTGTTCCCATTTGTAACTTAGACACAATAAAATGAGAAAATAGGGTTCACATTGAAAAATGCCCTTTAACTCTGAATTTTTAAGTTTATCTAACGTGCAGAAAGCCACACAGCAACTCCTCTGCATAGTAGCCAATGCTTTGTTACTCCCTTCTGCATAAAAGGATGTGACGATTGGTGCGTGTTCCCATTTTCCTGCACTAAGAGTGAATGTACTTTGCTCAACTCATAATCACAGCTGAACAAATGCAGAGAGGATTTGCAAATGAGCTTCCTGTGAAATCTAGACTCTTACCAACTTCTTAGCAAATAGCCTTTTCTCACTCTTTCCTCATCTGTGCCGTAAGAAATTGAGAGCTACTGAACCTATTCTCTATTGGTCATGGTCTTCATATTTCCTCCAGCCCATGAGCCCAGACACTGAATCCAAAGTGCTTCAGAGTGTGTGTCAGAATCCTGATTAGGTACTCGGAGTGATACAGAGTTGCAGAAATGCAGCGGAGCCTGCCTGCAGCCATGCTTGAAGAGTCTGTCAATAATGAATTGGTCTGTAAGAGAAAATAAACCTGCATGGAGCCCCCTCAGAGACGCTCTGAGAGGAGGCTTCAGGTTACTTGCACTTATGTCGGCACTAGCCTTTACTGTACCTCATTTTCAGTGTCAGTGTGCCTAAAAGCATTCAACAGCCAGAATAGGCTTTAGAGCAACAGCAGGGAAAGTGTCTGTAATGGGTTGCTTCTGTCTGCGCCTCGGGAAAAAGGTCTGTGGCTCTACCATGTGCTGTAAAATTAAAAGCATTAGGTTATGTAACACAGCGAGATGAAACACTGTGAAAAGATTGCTGCTGTGACCTTAAAAATTATACTGCTCATTGACTGACTTTATAGCATCTTATTGACTCTGACTTCACAAAATGCCTGGCAATTAAATGATCATTTTGTTGATATTAACAAGTCCCATGAAGACACCTAAACGCATAATGAATTTATCTGTGTATTTATCTTGTCTGTGTATTCAAAGCTTAAACCTCTGTACCCTGAAACTGCATTATCATTCAAAAACTATTAAAAACACACAACAGAGCTACATCACTGCACTGGGCCAAATATATGCTTCTTCATTACAGTTAACATTTAAGTAGGAACAAATCCACAAGTGCATTTTTAAATTCTAATAACAAATGCCACTCACTGCAGCCTCATGTTCTACTTTTTGATATTTCTCAGCCATGCTAGCAGCATACTGTTCATTCAGTTCCATAATTGCTTATCCTGTTAGGGGTTGCGGGGGGGCTGGAGTCTATCCCGAATGACATTGGCCAAGAGGCAGGGTACAGGACAGGTCACCAGACTATCACAGGGCACAGGGCTGACACATAGAGACAGACAACCATTCACACTCACATTCACACCTACGGCCAATTTAGAGTCACCAATTAACCTGTATGTCTTTGGACTGAGGGGGGAAGCTGGAGTACCCACACTGACACGGGGAGAACATGCAAACTCCGCACAGACGGGCTCCCCGAACCCTTGAACCCCCTACCCCGGATTCAAACCAGAAGCCCTCTTGCTGTGAGATGACAATGCTGACCACTGCACCACCATGCCCCCACAGCATACTGTATCTCACAATATCTAAACAATTACTGCATGGATTGCCATGAAATTTGGCACTGACCGCATAAAAGCAGTCCCTCCAGAAAATCGCGATCTTGCGAGCGCAATAATTAACGCAAATTCAACGAAAGTCTGCAATATTTGTGGGGACTTTCAATTTTTCAAAAGTCCCACGTTTTTTAGCATTTCCCGGCCGATCGGAAGTCGTCACGCATTCAACGTAATTTGATATGTCACCAGACACATCATCAAATGCACTAATGGCATTGCAGTATGGAGAAACGCTCTGTACTGACATAAGAATTTGCACTGTTTAAATGCATACAATATGTGCTGAATGTATTAAAATGTTATGTTAACAGAAGATGTAGCTTACATGTTGTTTTACAGTCACATTGTCTGGTTTGAGAGCTACAACACTCACACAGGATTTTTTGCAACATTATTGGAGTCCATGTTTTGAAACTAGCTAATTAAATAAAACTAAAGAAGAGAAGTATATAAAACATTTGCAGCTATTTTTGTAATATTCAGTGTGAGTATTATAGCAAGTGATTACATGACTTATTTTTTTGGAGGTAGTAATTTAAAAAAAATCACATTTTCTTTCTCCTTTGGTCATTAGCTGCAATTTTTGTCATCTGCTGCAATTTCCCGCAAAAAAATCACATAAAAATGCTACAATTTTCATTGCAAGTTTTGACAAAATTGACCGCAAATTCAAGGTTTTTTTGCCGCAAGATCCTGGAGGGACTGTAAAAGGAATAAAAGTAGAACCATCGTTCCTATTCAAATTTACATACCGTAGCATAATGGTCAGAGCGGCAGCCATTTTTATGTCTTCTTGCCATTGCAAAGAACTGTGACAGTTATTGCTGCTGACTTCCATATATACCAAGTCATGAACTTACTAAGGTGAGGTTCTGCAGTAACGACCAAATGAGCAGTTGAGTAGTACGAATCATAGCGAGGCATCTCCTTTGACTATCGGCCGAGGCTACACGATGAGCATTATTAAAAGACAGGCATGAGTAAAACATGGGCTTAGTGTGTACGGTGGAGGCCAAAATGGAGTTCTCAAACTTGTGAGTGTGACACACATTACGGCCCCACTGACATGTTAGCCATTTTCTCGGCTAGTCACATGACCAGGGCAAACACTTCAATGTCCTCTCTACTCGTATTCTGTTTTTATGGTACTGACATTCATGGTCCCCAGAGGATGAATCCTAATGACTTCGGTGTTCTTCTGACTTTCTATCCAGGCCCATCATCAGGTAACACACTGAATTTGTCCAATATTTTGGGTTATGACTGTATCTGCAAAATGTATTTTCATCAGCCTCAGCTTTACTTAACGTTTGTGCTAATTGACAAGCGTTATGTGACACCAATGCTAAACCAAGATGGGGAATCTGGTAAATATTTACTACTAAGCATTGCCATCGATATAGCTCTCTGCAGATGTATAAACATGTAAATTAGCTCCACCCTTCAGCCACTTGCCCGTAGCTCAAGTATAGGCCCGTAGCCTATCATGTGTTGTTAGCGTTAGCTGAACCTTGGTCCTGATCACCAGCCTGGCTTTTCCTCGTTTTAACATAGTGTTATGGAAGGCCCCATCCTGCACATTGATGGTATTGGTTCCTTGGTTCTGTGACGTTCTCGTCCTTGAGACAGTCATTGGTACACTACAGTTCCAAATGCTCAGCCATGACGTTGACTGCTTATTTTGCTCGTGATATGTCTTGTAGCAGTTTAAAACCATCACACGGACACATTGACAAGGGTATAAACTTGATTTTCCCTGAAGGGGGTCTTTGAGGGATTTGATGACAATAATACAAAAGATAATGCCAGTCTAATCCTTTGTTTTAAAAAAAACGTTTATGAGGATTTTCAGGAAACACAAGCCCCTATTTTTGAATCATGCTCTATTATTGTCCTTGAACACAGGTCTTTTTCTTTTCAAAAAACTTTGCCATAGATATTTATCAGTACCTCAGAGCAGCTTACCTTGATTAGAGCTGTTGGAGGGGAAGCGATCTGTCTTCTTGAGGGTGCGAAAATGAACCTTCTTGCTTGCTTGGCTTTCGCCGTAGAGGCCGATTGACTGGACTTGGATGATGTAGTCTGTCTCCTCTTCCAAGTCCCAGAGGACACAAGAGCGGCTGGTGGTGTTGACTTCCCGAATGAATCGCTGCATGTGTCCTTCCTGCCTCTGGGGATTGGAAGAAAGACAGAGAACAGAACTGATTGATCTATTGAGTCGATACAATAATCAAGACAGTGGTCAATGAGGTGACTGAGGCGACCACAGAGATTACCGGCCCTGCAAATGTGCCCCTGAGGAAGACGGTCCGTTCTGTAAGAAGCTAAAAACAATCATGTAGCTCTATGTGGGCCATGACAATGTAAGACGGAGGTGACCAACCAGAAAATATTCAAGGTGCTGGAGAACAACATGCTGAGTACTTTATTATATTAACAGTTGGCACTTTAGTTTCGCCATATGGAATCCTGACTGGGAATTGAAAAGTTGCGGAGTCAATATTCTGATTAATTTAGACTGCCAGCGCCTTGAGTCACAAGCTCTCAGTCTCAGAGTTTGTCTTTGACCTTTCAGAACATTATTGGAGCAATCAAGACCCAGAGCTGTGAGAATTATTCCTCCTGCTCACATGCAAACTCTCTTCTTAGTGTGCTCTCCAGCCCATCTGCACTTTAAGTGGCTCTGGGCCAGATGTCTGTGTTTTATGGCCCTGCTTGATAGAAAGCTCGTTTCTCTCCGTAAACAATGAACAATGTAATTATTAACCGCCATATACGCTCAGGGCAATTATGAAACTTGTTCAAATTCAGCTGTGTAACTTGATGAAGAGCCGTTTGGGTGTCATACAGTTCATCGGTCGCACTGAGTGAATAGCAAAGTTAAACGGCTGTATGATGTCGTGAGTTTCATAAAGCATAAATGCGATTACTGCAGCATATGGCATCCAGTGTTAGCATTCATTGGCTTTCCTATTTAAAGCTCTGAAATCCCGCTGCACCCCTTGTTTTCTCTTGACAAATCCACCATGGAAAGTTTTATTCAGACTCCAGGCTTGAAGGCAAGATTTAGTCTGCCTTTCTGCATGCTAAGCAACGCTTTGAGGGGTTCCTGAGAAAATATATCCATATAAAAACAAATCTTTAGTCCCACGGGATCTTGTGCATGTGTGTTTCGACTTACACAGTATGCTGGGCTAACTTGTGATATGTAGTGAGGTGTTTGCTGAGCACACAACATCCCCTCTATGGACTTCAGTCAGTGAATATATTATCATTTAATTGTCTGAGAAAATATGTTTCCAGTCGCCCGTATCCATTTTATCCCGATGTCTTCCACCGGCTGTCACAAACTGTGACACGGTTAAAAGTGGATTCCAGATGCACTTCTTCATATTGGCTGCGTGCGTGGTGTGCCAACAAAATTTCAACAGGACATGATGAAGGCTCAGTGCCAAACCACAAATGGCTATAGCCAAAAATAAAACTAATACAATTCATCTTTCTGGGGGGTTTTCGCTAACCTGTCCGTGGTCCTGATGTACATTTTAAGTTTGTGACTTACCTGTTGCGAGATCGAGAAGCCAATGATTATATCCCCCTCTGGAACCTCCCAGGATACAGTCGCCGAGTCGGCCCGCAGATGCGTGACAGACACATTTACGGGAGCTGGTGGCCGGTCTGAGGGAAACAGAAATAGAGAGGTCTGTTAATCCACCCACTTCTCTTGATATTAAATCATCAAAGCCATATGTGTCCACACTACAGTTGGAAAGTCTCAAGGATTGTGTTGGCACTCTGAGCTCACCACAGGTGTTTGAATTAAAAGTGAAGTCGTACTTTCGAAACTCATGTGGTCAGGTTTGTGGATGAACTACAAATCAGGAAATACAGCTATACTGTGGGACAGCAGGCAGCATGTGTGATCATGGTACAGTAGACTGCTGGGTCTCATGGTGAAGCACTGGACTGGACTGAAAATGCATTTTTTTAAAGGCTACATGGGATACATCCTTCCTTTCATCTCTAAACACCAGCTTCAAAAAATCCGGTCTGACCCTACATGAACCTACATGCTTTCTGTCCAAGCCCCAACCACAGCAACAGTTTTGGTCATGAACCCAATTAAAGACCTGAATTTCCACTGTAAAAAAAAAATCTACTGTATCTACAGGCTAAAGTGAACTAAAGTTCAAAAGTCAGAGATTCAAATCTTCAGTCGGAGACCCCTCAGTCAAGGGAGATTGCTTCAAGTCGAGCAGTCATTTTTTGCTTTTTGTTTTCTGATAGTCAGTATGCAGTGCAGCGTATTTCAGGGGACGTTTTGGTCCCAAGGTTTTGCTGCAGAGTGAGCGCTCTTGACCTTCATGCTGCTCTTTGGTACAGTCAGCTGCGGGGGTGCTGCTTCGGCACAGAGGAGGAGAAACTTTCCCCTATAAGGCTCTGACATGACATTATCTTCTTCGAACCTGGGCTGCTGCGGCAACAGCCTTGTACATGGGGTGCCTGCTCTACCACTAAGCCACAGACGCCCCAAAATGTTGCACATTTCTGATCCGTTGTTAGTGCCGATAGCTTGTTTACTATACTATATGAATGCTGCTGTCACACTGAGCACCCCGCTGAGCCCCGTTTAACTTTAAAACTATATGGGGAAAAAAACAAATAATCAAATATTCATATTAAATGGCCGAATATGATTCAACTGACATAATTCTGAGTCGGGTATATAGTGTACGTGACCTGACATAAACTTATTATCCTGATGTGACTTAAGCTAAATGATCTGGCGTTGATTCGGGCCATATTTTGGTTATGTGAGGAGAAGCAATTGTTCTTGGAGCTGGTTGTCTAAATAAATGGAAAACAGTAATTTAATTAACATGAAACACTTTTTAATGTGTACTGGAAAGCTGTAGGCGTGTCAGCTGATATTGCTTGTTTGTCAGGGACTATAAATTGTCCCAATGTTCTAATTCTTTGGCTTTCTCGTGAGTAAACCCTCAAAAGTGCAACTCTACGTCTGAGCCTCTCTTATTTTAAGTCTTGTTTATGCTACAACAGGTACAGCCCTACGAAAGGATTTTAAGTGCAGTAATAGTCATGTGACACAGGGTGCATTGCACACTCTGGCACAAATGGACTGTTCGTGAATTCGGAGTGCTTTTGAAATGTATGTAAGTGGTTATTCAGAGCACCACACTATCAGAGCAGCAGAGCGCCATGTGCAGTGAATGTGAAACTTAACCGTTCAGTCATTTACTTAGAAAGAGGGAAATCTGCGTGGACTGCACCAATACAAGCCTGTGGTAATGTTGAGAAATTATGGCCCAACCCAAACTGAGCAGCTGGGTCAGGTCCAAACAGGTTTGGGCAAAGGATCAGAGCTCTAGCACTCACACTAATAAACCATCAGGTCGCCATCTCAACTGCCGTATCACGCAAGTACAGTAACCACTGCTCTCATGGATGCTACGTCATCAAATCCCACCTAAGGACTGTTCCAGTGTCAAGGATTCCTCAAATTCTACCGAGGACTGAGTCCTTCATTGAGAGAAATTTCAAGGATGCATGTGTGTATCCTTAGCAGGTATAAGGTAACCACAATTCTTTGCGCACAAGCAGAGCTCAGCAGGATTTAGATAAATGTCATTTACTGGGACTAATATCTCCAGGAGTTTTTATCACACAAGCATGAAAAAATACTGACAGAAACCTCAAAATTTACACTTTCCATCGTGTCCACTGAGATAAAACAAGATAAGTTTTTAAGTTAATCATTTACAGCAGTGAGTGAGCGTTAAGTGTCACAGAGTTTCATTTAGCCTACCTGTTTGTTTTTTAAGTATAATCCAGAAATACATTCCCCCTAAAAGTCATGTGACTTTGAAAGTACTGCAACATCTGTTCAAATTGTACAACAACATTACAGAGTGCCAAAATTCTCACGCTCTGAAACCTCCTCAGTCCGCTGAGGTTTAATGACGCACACCTGGGCACTCGTTAGTCTGTTCCAATGTGTGTTCACCTAATGCTAGGAAGGACTCTTGCCTTTGACTCTGTAGGATCCTTCCTCGGAAGGACTCAGCCTAATAAGGAAGGATCCTTGACTTTGAGAAACACCAACTGTCATGAATACAACTGTTTTCAAAGGCAGGATACCTTGGACTGTAGAGGACTGTCTACTGTTTACTTCCCTGTTCAGGATGCCAGAACTTCACCATATCTTTCCATATCAGACAGTTGCTTGCTGCTGTATTAAAGCTCATTTAATCTTTCCTCCTTCCCTCTAAACAACCTCATGTGAACCTGACCAAAGTCACCACGGTGTCTATTTTGTGTCCACCACCCTCGGACAGCGTTTCATCTCCTCACACTGTCACTTTGCAGCCATCTATCATGATTTGGTTGCCGGTGGAAGCGTTGATTGCAAAGCGGGACAAAAGCCTGAGAAGCAAAAGGCAGCGGAGACAGAGGGCGACAGATCTAATAGAGGACCCTGCACAGCTTCAAAGTCTCCAAGCAATCGCTGGGTCAGATAGATTGGTAAGATGGGATTGGTCGGGCAGATGGAGGACCAGGAGGCCATCCTTAGGGCTTTTGTCGTTAACGTGGGTCTAATGGACTTTGTGTCTTGTCGCAGACAGTATCTGAGGTAATGTTGAGAGGGTCAGGTGAGTGGGAATGTCTCAAGCTGTCAGAGATGTGAAAAATAATGACAGAAAGAATCATTTCTTTTGGGGAAGACAATTGCTATATGATTAAACACTTTTCCTAATGAGATGTAACTACAGTATCCCAGCTGCTCTTTAAGTACCAGTTGTACGATTTTAGTTACAGCTCTCCGTGGCAGTTCATTACAAAGGGCGTATTAATTGACAGTCAATTTGTATTTCAAACGCTTTTATTAACTCGTGGAGCACGGACGTAATAACCCATAACACAGTTATCTTGAGATGACAGTCAAAGGCATGCGCCGCTGTACGAGGACAATATTTCATCCAAAAAGTGCACTTGAGAGAGAAAGATGAAACACAAAACGGTGGAATCGGGAGCTATTTCAAATGATTTGCCGTTTGCTAACTCGGTCCCTCTCACATCCCTGTCCTCTTATCTCCCAGTGCCTCCTCTTTTATCTCCTCCTCTTTCGCTTCTTGCACTTCTGTCTGTTTTTATCTCGGAGACAATCAATGATGGCCTCTGTGTTCGGTGCAAGAGGTGACATTGAGGCAGATCTCGAGACCCTCGGGTCAGACGGGGCTATCAGTCTCCCTGTCTTCAACCCTTGTGGCATTATGAACCGTCGAGGGAGGGGGGGGGTCAAGGTCAAACACAGTCATGACGCTCAGCTCCCCGGGCTCCTGACACACTCAGAGATTGGTTTGTGGAGGGGAGCGAATGAGATGAACAAGACGCCAGACTAATGCTTAGAGAGCACAAGAGGAAATGAATGTTCCAGCTGCACAGAGAGCTGCTGGTAACACTGGTATCAGGAGGTTAAGAGGTTACGTGTGTCCCATTTTGTCCATTTAATAGGAAGATTATTTATGGAGGTGTTAAGAGAGACGTACAGTAGGGTAAGTCACACATAGTATACACTGTCCTTGACCTTTGGAGAGCTGTGTGGAACGACTCATACATATATTTACAGTAATGGCTCCTGAGTCCTTGTGTCTAAACGACTGCTTATTCTGTGTCATGAACATTTGGCGATCACGCTAATGATCTTGTAATTGAATCCATTATCAGTAAACTAACATCACTGTTGCTGCTACACTAATTAGCTGAAATCTAACAAAGCTAATCACCAAACCCTCCTCACATGTTGGATATGGCTTTCTTTTCAATCCTAAAATGCCCACAATGAACAAAAGCCACACAAACACTTATTCTTGCAGCTGCATCATCCCTGATACACATTTTCCTAGACATACCAAGGACATTCATTTGTTTTAAAGCGACTAGTTACACACTATCAAGCCTATATTGGCATCAGCACGTATCGTACAGTGCACAGACTCTTCAGAATCAGGCGCAACATTTATCCAAGACAGGACACATCCATTTCTCCTCAAGCTCATTGTCCTTTAGGTAATGGGGGTTACAGACAGCCACGCAGTAACCATGATGCATCGTCCGCGGCTCATTTACTGGTGATGGAGCAAGTGACGGTTCAGTTGACGCAGCCCATGAATCATCACTAATGTATAAGTGCCCTCTCCCTATATGATGTTGTCGCCATTGTGGGCGATTGAGCGGGACAAATATATTTTCGACTTAAAGTACCTGTAGGGTGACTTTTTGTACTGTTTAAGGTAAAGATTTACACCAGATGAGGCCAACGTTGGGACGCAGTGCATTCTGGTAGTTGTAGGTTTTCTACCTCTTGTGCAAAAGCAGATGCCTCAGCCCTTTGCCTCTGTTTTCTGTGGTCATGTAGCACCGATTTCAAAGCGTTGCCCAACTTTGTGAAAAGACAGTCAAGAAAACTTATTTAAGTAGAACAATTTTAATCAATTTAATAAATCAAAATGACTAAAAGAATTATAAGGAAAAGCAGCAGGTCCCCAGCTGAAACCATTAAATGTTTGTGCATGAAAAACGACTTAAACACTGATTAATTGTCTAATCAACTGAATAACTGTTTCAGTTGCACTTGTGTATTTTCATAAGGTTTGTGA